AGCTGTGCTCTGAACATGTTCATTTGGTTGGTGGGTTATGAGCAGATAAATGTTCTGGGACCCAACTTGCAATCATGCAGATACACCAGGAATGTGATCTAAGTAAGTTGCGGGGAGGGGCTAGTAAGCCCATGGGTGGATTGGCAAGTCTGAGAGGGGGCTTGGTGGGTTGGGGGGACTGTATGTCTGGGGTTCGGGGGTTGAGGGGTTACAGATAACCTGATCAAGGTGGAAGAGGGGGTTAGGAAAAGTGCAGCCAAGGGGACCCAGTCCCAGTCCCAGGGCTGCACTCTGAAAGTGTGCACATATTCAGTAGACTAGGTTAACCCGTGCCTGATCCAAATTAGTGCACCTCTCAGGTAAACTAAATTAGATTGGCCCAGCCATTTTTTTGCCCAATCTAACCTCCCTACCCCCGGCCCAGAATATATGCAAGATCAGCACTTAGATCACCCTAACCGTAGTTAGGTCAATTTAAGTGTGAACTAAAATCAGGCCTGCCATTTTTTGCCAGATCTAAGCTTCCCAAATGTATGTACAGTTCATCACTTAGATCCACCTAACCCATGTTAGGTCGATCTAAGTGTAATATCTGCACGTACCCATAATAATTAATTAACCAACAACTTGAATAAACAAAGCCCCCATGCACATGGTAAAAATGCTGTGGTGGCTCTTACTGCAATTATGAAGTCAAGAGCACAGTTCAAGGCAAGTATGAATTTTAACACAATGTTTATTAACAAGTACACCTACACACTTCTAAAATAACAACAGTAGGGCAAGATTAATTATTAGTACCGGTTTTCAGGTTATGAATACAGGCTTTCAGGTTAATGAATTGTTATCCAGGCCAAAAAGTTGCCTTTTTTTACACAGGCATAACTAGAAGGGCCTATGCCATGGGCTCCAGCCCCACATGGAACACAATCTTACCTGCTTTGGGGACTCAAAAAAATCCCCAGGGGCACATCGCATAAGACATTTACTGCATAGTTGACTAATTAACTGCACAGTAAACATTTCAGCGTCTACACAGTGAGCCCCTCTTAGGGCACACAAAACTAATAAACTCTGCAGTAAATACAAGTCCTATCTTGCTGCAGAGTTTTTCCATATAAAGCAGTACACATGTAGACAATGAGCTGGCTGGTTGGGGCAAAAGGGTGCTTCAGTACAGGGGCTGCCTGCCAGCTAGTCCTGCGCTGAAACATCCTCATGCCCCAACCAGACCTTCTGCAGTACACCGAGCATGGCTGGAGCAGCCCCAGGCTGGCAGGCTGACCCCCGGGGCTCCTGGCTTAGCTGGGGCTGCTGCAACCCAGTTCAGTGTGCTGCGCTGTTGGCACGTGTAAACTGCACACCTGGGAGCTTCTCAGGAGCAATAATTTGTGGAGCACAATAACCTTCTCAGTTTATTGTTTCCCCCTAGTGGTATGTGCAGATGTGTCCAACTGCTATTTCTGTAGTGTGGTCAGAGTTGTAGGGTGTAGCCGTGTTGGTCTAAGGACATATGCAGACACGGTTCTTTGGGTGAATCTGATATCTTTTATTAGACTAACTTAAATAGTTGGAAAAAACACATTTTCTTTGCAAGCTTTCAGGTTTAAAATCTCTTTGTCAAGCTGAGGAAGCCTCTACAGTTGGTGTGTGATCTTCCTGGATGGAATAAATAGTAAAGAAGCCAGAGGCTGGGTATTGTCCAAAGAACTATGTTTAGTTCATAAAATCCCCAAATCAGGAAGGAGAAACAGTAAATGTTTTGAGTGCTTTGCATCCGAAAGTTTATCGAACTCTATCTCAATCATGCAGTTGGTCCAATAAAATGTATCACCCATAACAATCCATTCCTTTAGCATTATTCCTAGACCAGCACAGCCTACAACAACACTTTAATATAGGGTTGGGTAAAATATGGCTGATGGGCCGGATTCAGCCCACCAACAGATTCAATCCAGCCCGTGGGTGGATGGCTGCCAACTCACTGCAACTGGTCTGAGGGTGGCTGGCAGCTCCAGCCACCACATGGTGCTGGGAGAGTGGATGGGACTGTTTCTACCCTAGCAGCATCAGCCTTTGATGTGGTGACAACAGCTGTGGACCTGGGTGAGGCTTCTGCCATAGCAGGTGGACAGTAGTGTCAGCTGTGGACCTGAGCAGGGCTTCCGCTGCAGTGGGCAGTCAATGGCATCAACTGTGTATGCTGCCAGCAGGTTCAGGACCCTGGACACAGAAGCTGGGTCCATAGCTGATGCCACTGCCCTCCTGGCATGGTGGAAGCTCCTGCCCAGAGCCCTGACCCAGAACCTGGTGGCAGTGTCAGCTGTGGACCCAGACAGGAGCTGCTGCCACACTGGGCAGGCATCAGCTATGGACACAACTAGAAAGCTCTGTGTCAGGGCTCTGGAAGTTGCTGGCTGCACCCACAGCTGACACTGCCACCTGCCCGATGTGGCAGAAGTTGCTGCCTGAACCCACAGCTGAGCATCAGGGCTTGTGGCAAACTACAGCTCTGGCTGGGTTCAGCAAGGTGGGGAAGGGAGACGGAGAGATGGAGAGACAGCGACAGAGAAAAGAGAGAAACAGAGAGAAAGAAGAGAGGGATATGGTCCTTGACAGGTTCCCTAAACTCATTAAGTGGCCCTTCAGTCAAAATAATTGGCCACCCCTGCTCTAACACAACTAAAATTGCTGCATTTATATAGATAATGTAATGGTGCTACACTTATTTTTTGTACTTTAATAACAGGTTGGTTTATAAGCAGATATAGGTGATGTAAGTACATGGGCTGTGTTTAAAGAAGTTTCTTCTGGGAAGAACTGCATATGGTTTAGGGAAAGAGCTTCTTAGACCATGTGCTGGTTATTAAGTCACTATACGGTAATTTTCTCTTAAGATCTACAGGAAGGACAGAATTCATTGAAACTGGAGGGGATCTTTCTATAAAGCTTTTTTGTGCCACATACAGAAAATCTGTGAACAGTTTTGTCAATAGCTAAATATAATAAATTTGGATTCGTGCAGTTTTCCAGTTTTAATATCTGAAGGGTCTTGTAAGCTACATTTTGACTTGTAAAGCCATTTAAATTATAAGTGAAAACAAAAAAAAAAGCTAGTGACTTTTATTGACAAGTCATCTCAGCCAAAAGCAACACTGAACATTGAAAAATAGAAGAAAAGAAGAAAACTGCTCTATAAATTCATATGAATGACATTGCAAGCAGATACTTCCAGAGAGCATCCTGGAAGTAAGATGTTTATAGCCAGATCCTTAGCTGGTATAAATCAGCATAGTCTATTAGCTTAGAGCCAATGAGGGTCTATTGTGTAGGAAAAGGAAGGGAACTAATTACATTTGACATGATTTAAGCAAATATCTTTTAAAATATTTTAAAAAAGCCAGGTTCAGCAGTCAATTGGATTGGACACTACCATCATTCACACAGTTAAGCCTTACAGGGGATAACTTGAACATGTTCCATTGCTTTGTTCCCCTTACATGTCTAGCATTTAATAGGTGATAGCTCCTCCCCCTGTTTTCTTTCCTTGCTTACCTCCTGTCCCTGAAAGGGACCTTTCATTTCAGACAGAGACAATGTGGCACAGTTGGCCTTCTGGCGATGACTAAACCTCTCTGTTACCTAGGACAGTGGTTCTCAACCTTTTTTCGGCTAGGGGCAGCCCTTCACAATGCCAGCTCTTACTTGTCATTCACCTTTTGATTACAGAATAATAATAAAGCAATTCTTCTGTTGCAAAGAACTCAGAAAGACCACAATGTTTTTAACACTATGGATACCTGTTTGAAATTTCTGGGCTTATCCTGTAAATCATGTTTGCATACCTAACAGTGTTACCATTGCATGGTATCCTGCATCACCCTTGAAAAGATCTAAAGACAGCCCAAGGTGCTGCATCATCCTGGTTGAGAATCACTGACTTAGGGATTTAAAGAGCTAAGCAAGTGATGCCAAACAGCTTAGCTTCTGTGCCACTGAGGATTTTGCCCCTCTGGCTCCCTCCCCTGACTTTTGACGAAGCGCCAAGTATGAAGAATATCTTTGATCTAGCATGTCAGGCATGCTTTCTGTCTCCATGATATCAACAAGATGCACGATTGCTGTTCTTGGATTCTTGAAAATACAAATTTAGTAACTCCAGCTTTACCTCTTTTGGTGAAAGTATAGAAATGTAATCTTCATATATAATCTTTGCTTTTTCTTCAACCACTTTCTTGTTCTGTTCTTTCTTTAGGTCTTCACATGCAAGCCAGAAAAGCAGGTTCTCTTCACTATACTCAGTTCGAAGAAACTCTCTAAAAAGGTTCCTGCCAGCTGGTGTTTTCATCATCTTGTCAAAATTCTGAGCCCAAGACAAAATTTCATCTGCAGTAGGGTTTTGGCTGCAAAAAACAAAGCATCGTTACAATATGCTTCTATTTTTGTAACAATGTTTTCATACATTGGTCCAGAAATTCTCCCTCAGTTTCACAATAGTCAAGAACTAATACTGAAAGCAATAGGGCTTTAGTCTTAACTGAAGAATTTTGCTCTGTGTTCATAATCTCCCAGTACCCAATAAACATATTGTATTTTAAGAGGAGCTACACCTTTAGCTTTCTATAGATTTACCGCTAGAATTAATTTTTAGTTCTAAAACTCAAGAATAAAATAACAATGCAAAATTGAATTACTGCCCTTGCATTTAGAAATGATAACATTTTGAATGGCTGATAAAAGATTCTCTTTCAAATCTGGGTTAGATGACATCTGATGCAACTGCTTGATTTAGATGATGCTTGACCAACCGTGTACTGCTACATTATGTAGATCAGCAGAGCTGAGAAAAGGAAAAAGGCCCTGGCAGCTAAAAGCATACTAATGAGGCCCAACAAAATACCAATTGAGAGATCTTTTTTTTTTAATTAGCATATTTCTTTGCTCTAGTATCTAAGAGTTGCTAAGCTTCCCTTTGTTTGGTGCTACTGACCTGAATGATGATCTAGTGGCAAATGATCTGATGAGTAACACCAGATGCTTCTGGCAAAATTAGATACAAAAGAAGGGGGGAAATTCCTCTTTCCCAGTTTTAGAAGAAAGCTGTTCCCAGTTTTTTATACCGTAAGCACTGGATAAATGATCAGAAGTTGATCTTATTTAATATATAAATGAGAAAGTTAAGGATTAAGTTTTTCAAATTTTTTAACAACTATTAGATATGTTTAACATATTACTAACTAACACTAGGTGTTTTTTCTGCCCTTCCTGCAAGATAGGATCCATCAGCAAAAGCTTTACAGAGTTTCAGGATTTCTTAAGAATTTCTGCATAAATGAGCCACACAATATGTAGCATTTTGCCACGTCATGTATTTACATCCCTTTATCAGCCTTTATTTTACATGCAATGCAATGCAGGATATATGACAAGAAGCTATTTAATATTTATGCTCCAGAAAACTGTTATAAGCAAAATGGATGCACTTTTCTTAATCAAGCAATAGTCTTCATGTTTTCTGTTTTAAGACTTCAGTGAATGATTCCTTAGATGTAAGGGCCTCAGCATTCATCTCATAATAGTGTGAATCAGAATAACTTCACTAAAGCCAATGGAGTTTGTAGCACAGATACATGTGGTATATAAATAAACTCTGTCAGAAATTCTTATGGAGGTGGAAGTATGTAGAAGAAATAGGTAGATATTCTGTGGTTAGGGATCCTCTGAATAGGAATTCATCTATTGCATCATTTTGCTAAAATCTGAGACTCCTTGCTTCATGAGTAACAGCCTATTTTATAAGATGTACTTCATAGCATCTGACAAAGGCTGTTGCCAAGAAAGCTTACACCACTGAACAAGTTAGCCTCTAAGGTCTCATTTTGCCTTGCCCTCTGTCTGACTTCAAACTAACATGACTAATTACCTCTCCCTGCTTCACGAGTAATATTATTTAAGTGAAGATATTTGAGAAAAATGGTTTTGTACCACACAGTTCAATAAATTAAGGCTGATCCTTAAATCCCCTCCCAGCACCCAGTATAACTAGCACAGCCAGATGTTAGGGAATCCTGAAGACAGAAGGAGAACAGTTCCACATCCAAAGTCTTGGAATTGCAGCAGCACTGCTTCTCAAGGTTATGTGAGGCACAATGTTCAAATAGGGATGGTATATCACTTGAGCCTCCTTTGGAAGGAAGGACAAACTAATATAGCAGCAGTCCTTCTCTACTCCACTCTTCTGCTGAATATATGTAACAATGTTTATGGAGATCCAAAAGCCTGAATTCTGGCCTACTGTATTCTTTGAAGAATTTCCCCAAACTCTGCCTCTTCCTTGCTCAGCAGGGCAGCAAGATTAGAGGATAGGTGAAAGCCAACTAAACATCTGATCAAAAACTGCAACTGGGTATTCGCTTCATTTTACATGAGTCATTTTATTTTCCACTGTGTTCTTTACCTACCCCACTAAAACAACAGCAGTAGGGTTTAAGTCAGAGGAAAACCAGATAAGCAACATACCTCTTTCTGATGTAAAAAGCCTTCAGTCAATCCCAGTCACTGACAGACTATAGTAGCCTTACACTTTCTGAAAGTTTTCCATCATTGGATTAATATGGGTCTAGCTTTGTCACAGACAGCAGCGACTGACTCCAGTAGTCAAGCTACTGACTGTAATATATCTATTGGGCTGTTACATAATTTCACCTGTTTTTTGTGTTTGATTTTTTTTTTCCCTTGAAAAACAGTGTTAGGAATCTAGTGGCCTCTAGTATTCTAAAATTTTGGTCACTGCTTTCACCAGTAAAGCTGAAATGTGGGAAAAAGATAGGCTGGTATGGAGACAGAGTGTCTAGTGCATATACTGTGTAGAAGCAAGCATGTACTGTAAGAGAAATGTTTACCTGGCTCATTTTGGAAAAATGCACAGGCATTTATGATACAGAAAAATCACCACTTTATAAATCTGTTTGGCAAATCTTGTTGTCCCACTTGTATTATTACTATTTCTTCCTGCTAAGGTGAGAAGATAATTCTATAGTGGATAGGCTAAATCACCTTTCCTGTATAGAACAATTTTATACATCCACACTCCCAAGTTAAGCACATTTTCCCCCCAAATCTGGCCAAACACACAGTTTCACAACCGCATACAAAGCAGTTAAGTGAAGATTTTGAATGTCATCTTTGACATTTAATTATCATGTCAGAATGTACAAATATTTAGGAAGGAAAGATTATCAAATAACTTTCTAGAGACCTGAAATCATGTGATGCCTTGACACTAGTTACAGACAAAACCACAAATAATTTACAGAATAGATAGTGAACAATGGGAAATTTTAAGTGAGAAACTTACCATTCCTCTATGACCTGGATGCTTTCCATTTTGGTTGTATGTGTTGGCCTTCCTGCATTGTCTCCTCTATCTTCATTCCTAACAGTGAGGCTGCAATGTAGTACAACACTTTATTTTGTCTAGAGTAAGTAAATTTAAAGAATGAATATAATAATACGCAAATTGAAAGATTACAGGTTTAGTTAGGGTTGCATTTTATAAAGTAATTTGCACTCCAGCATCTAAATTCAAGGCCACAGTTTTGGGAAACTTTTGGTCAGGGTTTGAATTACACTTTGACTCTTGAGGGGTCTGCAAAAAAATTGGGCTGCCCATCACGATGCCCTAATAAAATCAGAGACCCCCCAGATTACGATTTTCAAACCTTACAGGGGGACTCTCGTCTCTTATGAAGGGGATCAGCTCCCCCATAATTCAAACCCTGGTTTTGGTTACACATTTTTGCATGCTCCTGAACTCAGATTAGTATTTATAGATGCTGTTTGCATGTGTGATCTTTTACAAGCTCATAGAGCTTGAAGACTTGCATATGCCAGTTTGTAGGCATACTTTTACAGACTACTTTCAGAAAGGTTGTTCTAAGTATAAATGAAGCAGCATTAGTAACCAGTAAGAGGAAAGAAAATACAATTTTATGGGGCACTGTCAAATGTTTCATCTATTAGGGAACTCATTGTTTTTTTATGAACAAGATTTTGCCCAAGTTATAAATTTTCAGAACTTGGGTAAACTATAACATGTTGCTGCTTCTTAGAATTCCTTCCTTCTTGTGAGGACACTTGCACTTATTACTGTAGGCACTTACTTTTTTAACGATACTGCCAGTTTAGCACATATCACTGAGATAAACATTATACATCATGAAACGGTAAGACATATACCAAGTACTATTATTTTTTCACATAAATAAAACTTATTGGCTTTTCAATAGAAAGGCTTTTATAACTTTCTGTTACCAGGATTTGAGAGAAGAATGATTTCCCTTTTCAAAAGATATATTTTTATTTATCTTTAAAGCTGAGCGAATAATATAATTTTCTTCTGCAAATATTTGTGTGCGTTAATCACGTTTGTTCACCTATACTTACACATCTGATGTCTGCTTCTAAAAATATTCTAGCAAGTGAGATAACTGGCAGGAATGTTTAATAATTAATAAAAACAGAACTTCAGGTGAACAATGGAAGATATTTATAGGAAGCAAATTTGAACAACAGCAATATTTGCATGAAAAACTGGTGTGTTCATTAAACTTGAGAACTAGAATACACCATGAATTTGGAACACATTGTGTGACCCCAGTGTCCAATGGGGAAAAACCATGATCGCTGTCTCAGATTCTGAATATTAAATATTCATAAGAGGACAATGTCCTCATTCGTGGTAAATAAACTACAGATATAAAAAGATACTTTTACAAAATAGAGTTCTATGTCTCCCACTGAGTTGAGTGCTTTTCACTCACACTGAAAAATAAATCTCAACTCTATATCACAGTATATGCAAATAAGGTTTATCTTTATCCCCTCTGTGCTTAGGAGCATCAACAATGTTTATACTATTAGTTTGGCAGAGTTTATAGGTGAACTCAAGTACTCTTAAGAATTTAAAGTTTAAGATCCCAAATACTGCAGAGTACATATTAAGACTTAAACATTACAAAGACATACAATTTCAAACAAAGCTTCTTGAAATCTGTTGCTCCTTCACTTACCTGCCAAGACCTGAGTTCAGGCCCTTGGTCCTGCTTCCCCTGTTACAGCGTAGGAATGCAGCTCCTGTGCTGCTTAGGGTGTTAGGATGTCATCAACTGCTGCAGGAGAAACAACACATCCTGAACTCGGGGGCTGGCAGGTAAAAAGCCTCCTTTTGACCCATTTCCTGACCATCTGTAAAGGGGCCACCCACTGAAGCCAATGGGAGGTCCATGTACAGAACAAGGACAGAATATGGATCGTCTGCTTCATTTCTTGTAATCTTTAAGTCCACACATGTCACTGCTTAGGGTCTGTTTGTATCCAGTTGCAGTACTAAATTGGAGATATGAGACGAGGCCTCCACAGGTCCCTTCTTCCCATACAGCAGTCTATATACTCCTCTGGATACAGGGCCCTTGGAGGAATACTGGATTGGAGACTGGTAGGCTGCAGCCCAGAACGTTGTTGGTGGAGGCAACACAAAATGACAGTTCAATAGAAGAGCTCCCTGTCATACATCAGAGACAGGTTGTATTCAAGAAACACTCTTTCCCAAAGCTCCCATTTGGTCACTGAGACACAACCCTGCTTACCAGCTGCAGCAAACTCTTATTTAGGATCTCAAACAGTTTAGTAAGTAAAATAAAATAACTTATTTTTTATTAATCTTTAGAAGCTCAATGTCTACTTGTTTTGTTCATGCAACTTTAATGTGAACACTCACATGAATGAGTAAAGTAAATAGGGCTCCCTCTAAAGACAATGGCAGGACCCATCCTTTTTTCTTCTGCCTTGTAAGTAGCAACTAAACTGTACTGAGCTCATTTGTCTGCCTCAGGGTGGAGCTGCTGCAAGTCCCGAGACCTTAGGTTTGAAATGGGGCTGTAGTTTAATCAGCCAACAGATGTTAGACTATTCTGTTTGTTTAAGCAAACAGTGGGGAAGAGAGAGTCAAAGGTTGCTTGCTTTAGCCATGCAAAACTTGTGTTGAAGTTTTCAAGACCAGGAGTCTCTGGAGTTGGGAGAAAAAACAAACAAACCTGAATGAGGTGGTGATTTAGAAGAAGAAATAAGGAGCAGACAAAGATGCTGCTGACCTCATTTCCATATTTATTAAAGCAGTTATTGGAATGGCAGATCTGTGGTTTGCTTTGTTGACAGCATTGGGTTCCATCACACATCTTGAGAAAATGTTGAAAAAGAACCGAGAATATTTCGGCAGTTGTAGTGCTGCAGTTTTCTGCCGTGTATACAAATTTGATGGCATCACATAAACATCTGGTACTAATTCCTTTACCTCACCATTATTAGATGACTTTCAGTGCCTGAGAGCCCACCTAGGAAGTATGAAATGACTTTGAAGGGATGTTAAAAGACAACTAGAATAATTCCTCAGATTCAGTTACTCTAGTTGAAGCTGTGTTAAGGTCACCAAACTTGTTACCCTACATTTTGCAGTATGTTTCTAGCTAAAAACAGTATCAATACATACTAGCAGACCTTTTCCAAATTTGAAAGATGTTAGTATTCCATCTAACATGTTAATTTTTCATGTCTTAATATGAAAGCAATCTTTATTACTTATACAAATGAATTAATTTCATTCAGAATTAAGTCTCTGTTGCTCAAGGAACTTCTATACTGTCATTAGAAGAATAGATAGTTGAACAAAATGTGTGTAATATACCATTTTCCCACAAAGGGGAAAATTTCAAGTTTAAAATAAAACATAAAGAAGTGAGTATCCAGCTTGCATTTATATACATCTAATTTCTTCATTCTAGGGTGTTTCTGTACAGAAAGCCCTGTTTTCAAAACAGGGTGCAGTGGTCGCACCTATAGAAACATGATTTTTTCCTGCAAAGCTACATTGAAATAAACAACATAAGTGACAGTGAGCCTGAATGGCCATATTTCATATTATAATTAATAATACTGCATTGGTATTTCTTTTTATGCCAACTTCCAGATAATATGAAAAAAAACTGAAAATAACAGTGGATATTTCTTTTGTAAAATTCAAGAAGTCCATAATGGCAAAGTGTTTGATTGGATATTTCTGCTTCTATGGGTGTTTCTGAAAACCTCTAGTTACTATCATAAATATAGTCATCTGTGTTGGAAGCAAGTTGCAATTTATCAGAATATAAACATTGCATTGTGGAAAACATAAGTTAAAGTGCACTAAACTGAAAATAACAGAATAAAAATCAATGTAATCAAGCCACTGATATGAGCTTTTAAGAAGGAAAAAAATGTCCTTTGAATAATCTCAGGCAACCATTAGACAAAAGGAAGTTGTCTACAATGACACCATTCTTGTAAATTAGTCTGCAGTAAGTTATAATATACTATATTGGATCAAATAATTTCAGCTGTTTTTTCCTGAAAAAAATAAGTATTCTTCAAAAAAATAAAAAAACTTCAAGTTTTTAGAGATACATTTTACACACTATAGTTGCATCAGAAATAATTAGAGACTGACATGAATGAAACTGAAAACTATGGGGTTAAAGTAGAAGGTGGAAAACACATAATGGATTCTAATTCTATTGTCTGGAAAGATTACCATATTTCTTGTTTTATGGTGAAGTAGTAAGAGTTAAATATATTACAGTAGGACCGGCTGGAAGGAATTTTGTTCTGCTTGCAAAATAATGTGGACTAACAACTCCCTATAGAGGCAAGAACTATTTTATCAACTGTAAATAGCATCATACAAACAGTAATCAGTGTTTTCATTTTGATTTCAGGACCATAATAGTTAACACATTACTCATCAGACAGTGTTAGGGCAAGTGTACAATTTCACAAACAAGCAAATACCAGGTTAAACTTCTCCAGAATTTCTTGTCAATATGTTTTTAGGTGACCCATGGGAAGATGAATAGTATGTAATTCTTTAGAAACTCACTTTTAATATACATGTTCAACAACTGAATATTTGTTCTGTTAAGAGACTACTTTTCTAAGCTAATACTGCAGGCTGTTGGTACATAGCAAGGTAAAAATGCAAAGCAAACTGGGTAGTAATTCTGGAGCCTAAACCTCACTAAGAGTTACTTGAGCTGTTTTACTAATTCCTTCTAGTCCTTTCAGCCACACAAAAAGTTGTTTATTGCCTTTATTGTGACACTAATGTCCCACTACTATTTAAAAAAATAGAAATAATTTATAGAGGGGGTTTGATCCTTCACTCTCTGGGCACTCAGTACATCTCTTGTGGCACAAAGGGCTAGATTCTAATTTCAGTCACATCAGTTAATGTCTGGTGAAGTGTGTACAACTTAGTGCCTCAGGACCTTGTTATATCCTATGCTGTAAGCTGAACAAATGTTAATCAGCCTAGTGTTATTTAGCTTAGTGGAGCAGTCACGTGGTAAGACAAAAATC